GAAAAAAAACCCCCCCCCCCAAATCCCCCCAAAGCAAATAAACCCCCCCCAAAAAACCCCAAAGTTAGCTGGAGATCACAGTTCAAAGTCCCAGGTCAGATTAACCCTTTCTTTCGGTGGATTTAAAAAAAAAAACATTAAAAAAAATCAATTTTTGCAGTGAACCAGCTGAAGGACTCTGGGGAAGGGAGGGACAGAGATTTCTTCTTGTACTCAGAGAGGGGGGGAAAGACTAACACAGTGCATGCCACAGTCACAGAGAGCAAGATCACGATTCATTCGAGGATGTGATCCTAGAAGGGGTCACCTGCGTTAACAATTTTTTAACGAGGTGGTGGAGTCTCTTCCCCAAAGCAGATCTTGTTAACTGGAGGAGGAAGCGTTGTGCTGCAAACGAACCAAAAAAAAAACCCCAAAAATAGAAGGGAAAAAAAAAACCCAAAACCAAAAAAACAGGCCTTCTGAACGAAAACCACCATTGTAAACTGTCCAGTTTATTTAAAAAAATGACTACAACAGAGACAACATGAGATTTCATATCTAGACTAGCTTCCTGGTGTCGCACGGCACAAACATACAACAGGTTCGGTTTCTGTCTTTATTTAAAAGAACAAAGCAAAGAGATCGGAGTTGGGTGCTAGAGGCTTCCGTTTGTTTCCAAAAAGAAGTGTCATGTACATATATAAACCCTTCCGCACAAAGAAGGGTCTTGTCATGTCTTGAAATATTTTAAGTTTTGTCCTTCATGTTTTATGGAATAAAAAGTTCAGCCTTTTTATTGCATGAAACTAAACCTGGGGTTTTGGCCCCCACCACGCGTCTCCCTGCCCATACACCTAGCTTCTTCTTCTTCTTCTTCTTGCATAATTCGTTGAGATCCTCCGAACGGCAGCTGACTCTCTTGATCCTGGAGAGGAGGAGGGGGAGGGAAATCACACACTCATCGTCATGCTGGGGGAATACTGGAAGAGAGACAGAGCCAGGGTGAGAAAGCAGGCGGGCCAGACCCCCGGACACCGAAGGGGGGTGCAAAAGGAGGCTGATGACAACTACACAGCAACCTAATTGGATCTAATAAATCAGGAGGAGAGGATATGCTGGAGACTCGAATTTATCAGGGCATAATCTACTCTGTAACTTGCATTTCCAGGGACAAAATCAGCAGAACAGTATGGGGTGAGATGCAATTTAAAACAAATAATTAACATGCACATGTGTATATGCTGCTAATAGAGGAAGAAGAGGAGGGGTGTCTGCAGTCATGCACAGCGCCTTGAATCAGCAAGGTCAGCACAGCTGGCTGCAGCTGCGCCAGCTCCTCTCCATCCCGTGGGATCCTCTCCCCTCCCTTGGTACAACCCCGTCCCGTCGAGGACCCAAGCTTGCACCCACAGAATATTTCCTCCTCCCCACTTTCTGTCCTGGAGCAGCTCACACACATCACAGCCCAGGTCCAAAAGGCACCCACCGCCAAGCCCACCTGCCCCAGTGCCGGGACGCCCCAGGGAACGTCCCCCCGTCCCCAGGGGGGCACTCACTCACATTGTCATTTTGGAAGGAATGGAGAAAGTTGCCTCCCAGCTCCCCGTCATCTCTTGGAGTGCCCGGGGGATTGCTAATGCCACTTATGTTGTTTGGAGAATTCTGCAGGAGATGAGGGGGGGAGGCGATGAGCAGGTCCCTGTGCCCCCCGAAACGCCGTGGGGGCAGGACGCAGCCCCAGCTGCCCCAGTCACGCCCCCCGCGATGTGTCCCCATCCACTGGGGTCACACCGGCACCCCAGTGCCGAGAAAAGGGGGGACCACACACCCCCTCTGCAACTCACTTACTTTTGGAAGTCCATCTATGTCTCCTGACCCTGCGCAGGGGGGACACAAAAGGAGAACAGCCTTACTGAGCATGCAGCAGTGGCCCCCGCGCCTCCTTGCCCTGCTCCCCCCAAGACCCTGCTTCTGATTTCCAGTCAAAGGCTCTGCTTCGAGCAGTGGTCCAAACCGGGGGCTGACCCCGGGACGGGAGCAGGCACTAGGATGCTCTGCCAGCATCCCTGGGGAGCGAAGGCACAGTGGTGCTCCCCGAGCCGCAGCCCCCCGTGCGGGTGCTCACCTAACGATCCGTTCATGTGATGGGGCTCCATGCCACCCATGCCGCCCATGGGGCCGTCAGAGCCAGGGCCCATCGGGAACTGCGGAAGAAAAAGCGAGAAAACCAAAATCAGCCACAAAACCACCCCACACATCTGCCACGGCCCCAGCGGTTCCTGGGGACCATCCCCTCCCTAGCCATCCCTCCGGAGAGGGGAGAGAGGAGGGACACATCCACCCCCGAGGCTGCGGGGCACATTGGGGCCCATGGTCCTGTGGGTTCACCTATAACATTTGGCCGGACAGGCATGGGCAGACCCAGACCCGTGGCAGTGCAGAGGGCTCCCTCCAACCAGTATTTAACGAGATTTAAGTCTGCCCGTATCCCGCAAAACACAGCATCTCACCAGGCACACAGCTGCCGCCACCTTGGCCGGAGCAGCAGGACCGCCGCTCTCTTAATAAGCATAAAAAATTAACAAAGTCACCGAAGAGTTAATCGCTTTTTGATGGTTTGTTTTATTTCTGTTTTGTAACAAATGGCTGAAATCAATTAAACTGCTTTACTCTGAACTGATGAAGTTAATTATGATTTGTTATGGTATCTGATATGTAAATTATTAGAAAGCAGACTTACATTCGATCGACTGCCTGCAGGCGGTACTGGATTAATCATTGTGTAGATGTTGTCACTTGAATTTGTTGAATCTGTGGAACAGTGAAGCCCAATAAGTCGGGTGATTAATTCATTTCTTAATTAAAACAAACTCATGCCACTTGAACTCATTCTTTTGTATTTTATCACCTAAAATTCCCTCTAAGTACCACCATTTTCTGGCTAATTTGTATTTAATGAAGATCCACAAAGTTTTTAATCACAGAAATTCAACTGTGAAAAATAATTCAACTCCTGGCTGGGAAGCGTGGGGAGGTAATTCCTCGCCATGTAGCACTCCTCACCTCCCCACTTCCCTGAGCCCTGCAGCATCCAAATCTGTAGGGGGATATAGGAACATCCCCAAATGCCATCCCGAAGCCAAGTGGCCCATGCCGCTCGCTCCCCGGAAAGGCAAAAGCTACATAAATTGGTTATTGCTGGTTGGACAGGGGTTGCCTGTGCTTGGCGGCGCAGCCCCAGGGATGGGGGTCTCCTGACAGGGGAAGTGGCAGGAGCCCGGGAGGGCTGGCCCCAGAGAGGGGGGGTCTTGGGGGACTCCTACCTGCGGGACTGGGCATGATGGGTGTCCCTGGAGGACCGCCGCCGCCGGGCGGACCCTGCGGAGAGACAAAGCAGGGCTCAGCCATGCAAACGCGAGCATCGCCCACCTCCCCACATTTTGAAACACCTCCCCCAGCTGGACCTTGCACCCCCCAACACAGCCCGGCCACCCCAAAGGCTCCAGTTCCCCCCCAAACCGCATGTGCTCCCCAAGCCATAATGTCTCTGGACCCTGACAACAGGATGGACAGATGGAGCAGGAGGACTCACCACGTATGTACCAGGCGATGAAGAAGAGTATGGGATCTATAGAGAGAAGAGAGCCAGGTTCAGCTGTGGGGTGCATGAGGGCTCCCATGGGCTGGACCCCAGCAGGGCACAGCTGAGAGCCCCCGCTGCCTCCCCAGCCCGGCCAGGATGGGGGTCCCAGGGCCCAGCAGCCCCCACAGCTGCACCCCACCGCAGGAGAGCAGCACAGGAGCAGGGCTTAGGCTTTAGATGCAGCGCCTAAACAAGAGGCTGGGGAACCCCCCCTCGTCAGCAGGATTCAGCTAACAGGGAACTGGCCTCATTTGCAGGATGGTCCCCAAACAGCCCCACTCTTTCTTCAAGGACTGCAGGATACTCACTGAATTAGCACTGCTGGGGTTCGGCCACGGTCTGCCAGCACCCGGCCCCCTGGGGTCAAAATTAAACAGGGAAAAAAAAATATTGTGTTTCTATCAGTAGGTCCCACAAAGCCCAAGTCAGCGGCCAAACATGCCCAGTGCAGGGTTTGCCTTACATGTTAATTCCAGGCATGCCGGGACCTAGGGAGTTGGGTGGAGGTCTCATGCCGCTGCCGTAGTTCTGCAATGATAACCAAGGGTCAGTCTACCGTAATGGGAAGGGAAACCGGAGAAGACAAGAAAAGGGAAAAAAACCCCAACACACAAACAAAAAACCAAGAGGGTTAGTTTGCAAAAACGAGCTTTAAAAAAAAAAATTAGATGATGATGAATGTAGAGGCAATTAGCAATTGCGTTTATAAAAAAAAAACAGGCAGCTGAATATGGAAGGGAGCCAGGCTGAGCCCCAAAGTCTTCCCCCCTCCCCCTGCCCAGGTCTCTGATGTCACGCTGGTGGAGGGAAAACAGCCCCCTCCCACCTCTGGGAGACAAATCTGCCCACGGCCCCCAGGCACCAACAACAGCCTTTTGGGTTTGTCTTTTTATGCAGGAGAAAACAGGGGCAGGAAGAGAAAAGGCGGCATCGCTTGGAAGGTTATTGCTGCAGCGTAAGGATGGGAAAAGGCTGCATGAGCTCCCCCCGAGATGGAGCATCCCCTGCTCCCAGGATGACGGCTGGAGTAGGGAAAACCAAGCCAGGCTTGTTTTCCCGTTGCTTCCAAGCTCTCTGCTACATCCCCCGGAGCAGGTCTGCAGCCACAGGGAGAGAGCGAGGGCAGGCAGCCCCTCGGGGCTCCTCTCCTGGCTTATTCCACCCCAGCTTAGCCTCCAGCTGGGACCAGGAGCCTCAGATCTGTGTCCCTCATCTCCTAAAACCAGCTCTAGTACAAAGCCAAGCCCAAGGCAGCGAAGGAAGAGGAATCCCCTGAATGCCGCGCTCCATTTGGTCTGCACTTTGCTCCCTGTGCCCTCCGGGTGACGTGCAGCTGGATTTAGGTCGCGCTGCCACTTCTCCCCTCCTACTTTCTCCCTGCAATGCATCTTTTTGGGCTGTATTTCTGCCATTTAGAGAAAAAATTGCTTGGGCAGAAGGGGGAATGGCTGGCCACTTCCTATTTTGCAGCTCCTCGGAGTGCTCCAAGCTGGATTTTAAGTGCAATACTTCAGCGCTGTTGATTTTTCCCTGGATTTAAGGATGCACCGGAGCATGGTACTCTGCTAGAGGGCATTGCCAAAGTTTGTTTTGAAGAGGCAGAAAAGGGTTTTCCCCAAACAAATTACTGGCAAGTCCTTAATTGATGGAAATTCCAGCCATTTACACTGAATAGCAGCATTAAACCCCTTGTTTTAAAAAAAAAAAAAAGCTCAGCATTTTTAATTGGAGCTGAAAGGCTGGAAAACGAAGCCATCTGAAAGATGCTCAGGGAGGGTGGGGAGGGAACACAGCTGTGCCGAGCAACCTGGATGCCGGGCTTTGGCAAGCTCTGGCAAGACACCGCTGAAAACCAGTTTGCTACAAACCCTCTTCACAGAGGCACCAGCAAACCTAATCCCGGCTTCTGCAGAGCTAAAACTGGGACTACTAAAGGGAAAAAGGCAGCGGTGATCGGCTGCAAGGGATGATTCATCATCGGTGCGTAATAAGTAGCTGTTGTCAGGACGCCGGGATGTCCTGGCTGGATGCTCCGCAGCCCTTTGGAGTAATTTAAGGAGTATTTGGGAAAGTCCTGATGCAAAGCTTAAACAAAAAAAAAGTCCTGGGCACACAAGGCGTGAAGGGCTGCTGGGCTTGGTTCGATATTTTTGGTGGTTGCCTGCGCTCGTTCCTGGATGGCTGTGGGGAGGCAGCGCCCCGTGGGTGCCAGATTGGGAAGCCCAGCACTTCCCTGGGGGAAGGCTGCTTTTTAAAAAGCCTCTCCCTAATGTACGTACACAGGGAACGGCACAGTCAAAAATAAAGCTCTGAACATTTCACAACTCCTGCCGGCTCCCAGAGCCGCCGCCATCCCACGCGGCACTGAACGCGCGCTTGCGGCTTCCAAGTTTCGCGGTGAGCTTTGCAAGTGGGAAGCGAGCAGCCTCCCCCAGGCAAACCGCCACCGCTCTCCTTGGCGCAGGCCGTGCTAACAAATGTCATTTTTTGTGGGTGCAGTCCTCCAGGAAAGGAGGATTTTAAGCAGAGCAGCAGCACTCAAAGCATCCCTGGCTTTGCTATTGGAGGGCCTGTCCGTGAAACGATGCTCATGCAGGCTTTTTATCCCCTGCCATAGCATGGCTCTGGGTGCCTGTGGAGACGGCCGGGCATCCCTGAGCAACATCCTCAGGCTGGTGTTAAAAAGAGATGACACAACTCCCTCTTTACACAATATTTGCTTATCTCAACAGTCTCCAGGGGAAAAACAAAACAAAACTCCAGCGCACCCGCTCATCTCTTGACAGACTCTGATCCTCGCGCTACAAACTCGACGTAGGCGACGATGCAGAGAGGATAAACCTCCAACCAAAATATGGTAATCTGGTTTTGAAGTCTCGTAGAAGGAACAAACAGGAGTGAGTCAACAACAAGCCACTCCGTAAAGTGAATTAACGGAAAGACAGCATATATTAACCCAGATCTGCTTAATTTCAAGAGTTTACTCCCCTTTCCTGAAATAGAAGCTCAAGCAGGCAGCAGGAAGGGCAGCCGGAGGGGAACCTCGCAGAGGAAAGCCTTATTCCCCTGCTAAAGGGATCTTTGCCATTTATTTTTATTTATTTATTTTCAATGCAAGCCTCCTTTCCCTTTCCTGCTGTTAGGGTCGTAACTATTTCCCAGGCAGGCAGTGTAATGCACTCAAAGGCTGCTCCGACGTGGCACTAAGTGCCATCCCCTTTGACGGAAGGGCAGGAGGGAGGTTGCAATACCCTTAATGAGCTCTGAAGATCTCACTCATGTTAAAAGGAGGGATTTCCAGATGCAAGACTAATGTAAAACGCATTAACACTAATGGGGGGACAGGGTGTGTGGGGGGGAACTCCCAGTCCTTTGAGTCCCAGGAGGTTGTTTCGATGGTGCGCGGCGTTTGCCGAGCTGTAAGATGCTTTTTGGCACTGGGCTTACCTGCGGACCGGGACCCATGGGGCCCATCCCTCGCGGAGGATTCATCCTTTGCATGGGGCCGCCCATGTTAGGGTGCCCTGTTGGGAGGAAAGCAGGGGTGTTACATGGACAGCAGCCACTTCAGGTCCCAAATTAACAGCTAATGAGAAACATTAACATTCAACCCTCCTCTGCTGGGTTTACCTTGCTGTCGCGTGGGATCCATTGAATTGGGCAGCAACGGCTGTGTACCGGGAACGGCACCCGGGGGCTGTGAAAAAAAGGGAAGGAAGATTAAAAAAAATAATAATTGCTAAAATGCAGCCGACAGAGATAGATTTGGGTTGAGGCTTTAGGCTTTCAGGGGGCTCCTCGGGGTGCTCCCTGGGATGCACCGCCCCTCCTGCCACAGCACAACCTGCGGCTGCCCAAGCATCCTGCATCCCGTTGCATGCCACATCCTGGGCATCTTCTTACAGCGTCTGGGTGTTTGCCTCCCCTTTCATTTCGCAAACACTGTCTAAAAACCAAACAAGGCACCAGTGTTTCCTCCTCTCCCAGCAGCCTGCGCGCTGTCAGGCTGCCGTATTTTAGGGGAGTGGGGGAACGCCCGGGCTGCATGAGGCAGAGGCATCAAAGCCGGCAGGGGAAGGAGATGGGCAGCGTGGCTCCCCAGTACTGACACAGCGCCAGGGCCAAACCACGCAGGTTGCAGGGCTTCATTGGCTGCCAATGGGGAGATGCTCCGTTTGCAGCAGACCAGCATTCAGACCTGTCCCCACACAGGCAGGAGGGGAAGGCGGATGCTCCCCCTCCCCAAACCCAGCTCTGCTTGGGCAACGCGGCTATTTAAAGTTCAAAGGCTGCTCCGAACAGATAAAGGGGGAGAAAAATGTAGATACCATCTGCCTGAGGGAAGCAAACTGTAAACAGTTTTGCTACAGCACTGCCTTTTATTTGAATACCGACACAGACAGATCCCACTGCTGGAGCACAGTGTAGGCACCGGGTGTGCACAGCCATGCCGAGGCAGAATCTGCCCAGTTCCAATTTTTTTGCAACTTGGAAGCTGGCAGCAGGAGGAAGATAAACCGGGGGCGTTGTAGTGATGGATATTTACACTTCTGTTGCCTGACCTTCCTGCCTGCCTATTTATTCCTCTTGTCCCTCTGGATGTGACCATAAGCTTGCCAAGCTCTGGGTAGGTACAAACCTGTGTTTTATATGTGGTGTTTGGAGGAAAAAAATGACATCTTTCTAATTAACTTTACCCACTCCTGGATGCTTGACCCCGCTGCAAGAGCAGCCACCCCAAACGGGTCCCCTGCCTCTCCTGCCTGCCCCAGCTCATCATGCTCACCTCCAGCGGTGCTCACGACCAGCCTGGGGACCACAGCAGGATGAGGGCCCGTTAAAACTGCCCCATGAGAAGGTGCCATTGATTAATACCTTGCTAAACCAGCCACCAGTGCCCTGGGTGGGAGGCTCTTCCAGCCCAGCTGGGCTTGGGGGTCCCACATCAGCCCCCCCTTGAGTTTTTCTCAGCTACATCTCAGCTGTTTCACCATCGTTTTGCAAGTTCCAGTGCTTCAAGTCTCAAATCCAGCAAGCACGAACACAAAGCAAGCTGCTACATCCTATTTCCTGACTATTCTGCTCTTTCTGCTAATAAGAGCTATATAAATATAATGTTATTAGCCAAAAAACAAGCTCCCAAGACAATTTGTGCACAAGTCACCTTTGCTACTCAAAGGAATTACAGGTTTCCTTTAATTTCCCTTTAATGACAAGTGACCTGTGGTTCAGTCATTACCCTATGGATCTGCACGGCATTGTTGGGAACGAGATTAATTCCTCAACCAAAGGCCACGCGTTCAGGCAACGCGTGGGGTGGAAGCCTCCGTCCCTAAGGCCAGAAACAAACTGCCCTTGTTTAAGCTGGGATAAGAGGATAAACCCTACCCAAAAAATTCAGCAGTGACCTGCCCCGCTTGACCCCGCCGCTGATCTAAGCGCTCGGTCAACCTAGCAGCAGGATTATCTCCATCACTTTAATTTTCTGCGATTGCAGGGAAAATCCAGCCGGGCAGCGAGCCTGCGGCACAGCACGGCTATGCTGAAAACACCACAAATAAAAAGTGGCACATGCCCCACCACTGTTCACACCCTGGATACACCCAAACCTCCAAAAAAATTAAAATAAAATGGTTATGTGACACTTGATGCTCCAGCATCAAGAAAACAGAGGATGCCTGAGGGAGGTGATGCCTCCCATCCAAACCCAAGGAGCGTTTGCAGGACACCTGGCCTTTGTCCCCCTCCCCAAATAAAAGCCATCCCCAGGAAACCCGCCGGCACGGAGCCCGGGAGCGCAGTACCTGGTTGCCCATCCTGATGGGGGGCCGGGGACCTCCGGCGTAGCGCGGCGACATGAACGGCTGCGGGGACACAAAAGGGAGGTCAGGGCCAAGCTGCAGGGAGGCAGCACACTCCCCACGCACGCTGGTTAGACTGTACACACTGGTTTTGGTTTGGTTTTTTTTTTGTGTTTTTTTTTTTTTTTTTCTGGAGACATCCTTTTTAAAAAAGTTAAGTTTCAAAAGAAAAATAAAAAAAAGGTGTCCGGAGTCCATTTTTTAAACATTTTGTCTGTAGATTTATTGTTTGAGAGCGTTTGACATCGGCAATACTAGGTGAGGCTGTTAAAATTAGTGCATGGGAAACCCTGAGTGTTAGATACTGTTCAAGTTTAAATATATATATATTAAAAAAAAAAGTGGCAAATAAGCACATACAGACACGCACACACAAAAAAAACCCCCAATGCTAAGTACTGAAAAAAAAGAAGAAAGACTTAGTTACTTTTTTTACAACTGCTGCTACTAACAGAAGCTTAAAAACCCACATCAAGTTAAATTTCTCAGGCTACCTTGGGAAGGTAAAATGGTCTGATACCCACAATTGACTTCTCAGTCTATTGACAACTGCACATCCAAAAAAAGAAAAAGAAAAAAAAAATGGGAAAAAAACAGTATTTCACTTCGGAGCTGGGGTGCCTGGGGGGATGCTCCCCGGGGGAGCGGGTACCCGCTGGCCCAGCATGCTTATAGAGGGGAAAAAAAAAAGGCAAATCGAGCGCACGTCCCGGTTCACAGCCCTACCCATCGCTAGTGTCTTTACCTGACTGTGGGGTCCCATCATGCTGTTAGGATTGTGGGGTGGAGGCTGTGCGTGTGGCGAGGGCTGTGACCCAGGCGGTCCCTGTGAGGTCAGACAGTAGAAGGAGGTTATAGATTAGCACATGAAAGCGCAGAAAGAGCTAAAAAAAGGATTGACGGGTGGACCTGTTTTGTCAGGGAGTCAGTTCTCCCATTTTTAATTTTTTTTTTCTTTTTTTCCTCTTTTTAATTTGAGTTTCTACTCATTTGTAGCTGAACAATGAATAATGATATATGCAAAAAAAAAAAAATTAAAAATCAGAACATCTGTCAAAATACAGCAGCCACATTGACAGTAAACGGTCCGGTAGTTCAACCAAGTCTGCAATGATAAACACACAGGGAAACACTTCGCAAGGGCGTGCAACGAGGAAGAAAAAATATGCAGGAGAGGACCAGAGAGGTTGGGGGAAATAAAAAAACACCCCCAAACCAAAAAAAAAAATATCATTTTTCCTCTCTTATCCCAAAGGCTGGAAACACCTCCGGGGTTTTTTTTTTTTGACCGTGGTTCACTGGAGGTGCTGGAGCGAGCGCAGAGGACGAGGAGCACGTCCCAGCTCGCGCCTGGGCAGCGTTTGGCTGGCACAACCGGGGCTGCATCGCCAGACTGTACGGATGCAACATCCTTCCTCGAGGTGGATTCCCTAAGGATGCGAGTAAAGTGGCTTGCGAGCAAAGAAAGGATGTCTAGGGGAAAAAAGGAGAGATTAGTCGGTGCAGGTTTAAGGCTGCAATGCAGCAGCCGCTGACATTTTGGGCTTGAACGCCCACTTTTTTTCTTTAAAATTTCCCTTAAAAGCACAAAATGAAAATTTGCTTGGAAAAACCACGAGCTCAGTGCAAGAATATACCGGTGTGTGTTAACGCAAGGAAAAAAAAAAAGTATTTTTTGAGTCAAAGGAGGTGTAATTGGTAGCGAAAGCAAACGAGCTTTGTCAGTAGGTGATGGGAAGCGACGGCAGGCTCCAGGACTGGCGCCGGAGCAGATGTTCTCTACCTGCCTCGTTACTAATTTCAACAAGTGTTCGCCTTCTAGCTGCTGCCAGCAATGGCATGGTTTGTTACCATGAGCAATTTTCTTAATTAACAGACATTAATTAGCCATTTAGCAATTTTGCAAGCATTTGTTTAGCAGCTTTCCTAAACATGAATACCACTGTGATAATGGTACTGATTAGAGGGTCCCCTAATTAACAGTACAGGGAAGGAAAATTGAAATCACATAAATTAAAAAGGGAGGGGAAGTTAATGAAGGCAGGACATATTTGCACCTGCAAATCTTTTGTACAGTGGAAACTTGAGTGCAATGTAAATAAAGTAAGAGGGTGGGTTTTTTTTCCCCTCTTTTTTTTTTTTTTATTTGAACGGTTCAGCGGCGAGATGGAGCCAAGCAGATTTAAACCAACAGCCTCCTGCCAGCCTCCCCGCTCCAGTTGCTGCACCCAGGGAAATGAAGTCCCACCATTTACACCACCATTTATTCTCCAGGAGCCAAAGGCAACCAGCCCCTGCCCCTCCTGCCTCGCAAACCTTGGCTGGAAGAGGTCACAGCACCTCAGGACAACCCTCCCGGTGCCCACACAACTGCATTCTCCATCCATGTCCCACCAAGAAGAAGACAAACCTCTGTGGTCCAACTGTAGCATCAACCACCTTTAGCGGAAGTCATCTCCATGCATGAAACTTGACTTATTTTTGCTTCTGGGGTGGCTAACTCTGTCTGTGTGAATGCAAACCACACTGGGGGAGGCAGCGACCTCCCACCACCAAGGTCATGAAGGACAGCACCCCTCAATGAGGTCTGGCCACCACCAAAGCCCTTCCTACACATCACAGCTGCAGGATTTGGGGTAGGGAAGATTGGCAAAGGTGAACGAGCAATGAAACCAAGTGGAAAGGACAAACCAGGACTTGCAGAGGCCAACCTTCAAGTCCCATCAACGGAAGAGTCAACAGGTCCTCCACAACGCCTGCCTTGCTGGGCCACAAGGAAAAGGTTGTTGTTATCCAGGTACTGACTGGACAGGCATGCAGATCCCATCCTGAAGTTACTAAACCCCTGACGTCCTGCCTCTTGTATCCCTTGGCGTGTGAAGGTGTGGAGTTAACAGGTATCGAATGCATGGGGGACATGGCCACCTACATGCACCCCGGCTGGGCCCAGAGGTGAGGCTTTGGGGCTGCATTTAAAGCCTTCGGAGCAAGCAGCGTTTGGTTATTGTACAAAAAGCATCTATAAAAGACATGGCAGCATTTTCACTGGAGAAAAATCCCCTGCAGCAATTGGATCTGGAGAGCATCAGTTGTTTGTGCTGCTGAAATGCATCCTCCAGAGCGTGGTCGTGCCCCGCTGCCCCAAGGCTGCACCTCGGGATGCTCCAGGCTTGGTGCCGTGCTTTGCCGGCCAGCAAGCATCATCCTCGCCATCGCATTATCCCATGTGGAACTGCTCCCAGCAGAGACTTCTGGATAACATGACTGCAGACGCCCAGCTCGTGCAAACGTCTCAGCAGGCAGAGAGGAGACGAAAAGGGCTTTTTTCTTTTCTTCTTCATTCTTTTCTTCTTTTTCACAACAGCAAGGAGCAGCAGCATCCGAAATGCTCGCTCTGGGCTGCAACCGCCGCAGCCCCCTCCCGCGCCCCTGCGGCACGGCCGCGCTGCTCTGTCAGAAACGCAGACCCTCTGGATATTGTTATCTCCATAAATATTTGCAGATGTTTCAGGGCCGGGACCTGCATTCAGCCGGGAACGCCTGCTGGATCGGTTGCTTTTTCGCACGGGTTTCCCTCACTGCAGAGGAAGCGGCAGATGATCCCGATGGATCACGGCGGTTGAGACAAGTGTTTTGCAGAGATGACATGTGGGCTCCAACCAACAGAACAACCCTTTTTTCTTAAAAAATGTGTATTTAGCAGTTATTAACTAGTGCTGTTACAAGAGAAGGCTGAATGCACACACGGTCCTGCTTCCTCCGCACCACCTCCCTCCAGATCCCAGATGCCCGAGTGCTGCACACCCTCAGCAGAGCTCCATCCGACACACCGTGCCGGGTGAGCAGGGCCTGCTCTGCAGTTAATTCACTTTCATCTCATGACCAGCACTCTCCCCAGCCAAAGAAACCCCATCATCTCTCGATTTCTCATTTTTTTCTTTTTTTTTTTTTTCTTTTTTTTTTCCAAACTGGATGCCTTGCACGGGGCGGTTACTCTTCACCTTCCTGTAGCTGCCTCAAAAAAACCCCAACAACCAACCCCAAACAGCTAAAATGGTGTTAGAGGAAACTGTTTCCAACAGCTCTTGCTGCCCCAACCTCCTCTCTGCTTCATTTCCCCCCTCCCTCTACATTATGGGGACTTTAAAAGCCCAACCTGGCTGGTCAGAAGACTGAAGTTTGCTGCTACCGCTGCTTTCCAAGGGGAGTTTCCAGGCGATCAGGTTATTTCCACTCCGTCTTTCACAAGCTTGACTCCTCAAACTTCTTGTAAAATATTAAAGATGGAAAATGGCACGAGCGATCGTAGCTCTGCGTGTGTCAATTTATGTTTCCAGCGTAATTCACCACAAATGGATCGTGTTTTATGGGCTACATACTTTCAGCTAATGGGGGAGTTTTTCTATTTAAAAACATTTTCAAGCACCTCTGGGGGTGGCAGAACAATGCAGGATGGTACGAGAAGGCAAAGCATCACTGCCACGAGATACCGACAATTTAGAATTAGCAATAGGAAGGCATCTTGTGTTTAAAAATACCTGCCCCTGCCTAACGGTTTTGACATTAGAAAATACTAAAATATATTAGATGGATATTAATTAAAGATGTGCCTGGGTTTATTGGTTAGAAACTGTATTCCTACCGAAGGAGAGAGAAGTTTTGCAAGTTGTCAACAAAGAAAAAAAAAGATATCCCTGAAGGAGCCTTTAGGAGAGATGCTCCAGGTGCCCTCGGAGAGGAGGACCATGGCCACCTTCCACCACATGGTGCCGGGTGAGGACTCAACTGCACCTTCCCGAGAGAGGGCAAGACAAGGCAAGGCAGGGCAAGGCAAGGCAAGGCAAGGCAGGGCAAGGCAGGGCACGGCAAGGCAAGGCAAGGCAAGGCAAGGCAAGGCAAGGCGGGCGAAGTTCCTCTGCAGACGGCGGAAGGCAGCCGTGGGCAGGAGCTCTGCCTCGCCTGCAGCTGGGGCTCCCAACTGCAGAAGCCTGGTTTTAAGGAATATGTTAAACACAAGCTCTTCAGGAAACAAACCCATGTCAGCTGGAGCCAAGAACAGTCACCTCCATCTGGCTGGAGCACCCGAGAGAAAGTTGACTGCAAATCCCACCATATGCTCCAGACGCTCGGTACAAAAGCCTCGGGCATCCTACTAAACTTCCAGAAAAAAAACTTTCTCTGATGCTTGCTTTTCCTTTCCTCCAGCTCATAAGCCACCTTCCTTCAAACCCTGCCTGGTGCAAGGCTGACATGGAGCTCTGCCCTGGGATTTCGGGAAGGGCAGCTTGGTTTTACAGCTCTTGTGCCACCTTGCTGGAGCTGGCTGACCATAGCTGGTGGCACCTGTGGAGCGGTGGCAAATCCCACTGAGATGTCAGGATAGCTGAGCAGGGGGAAAATGGTGGAATCCAAGGAGGGAGCAGGACAACATGGACCCTTCCTATTGCCCCTGGCTTTACCATCCTCATTCCCGTGGGCAACCTTACCCAAAGAGATGCACCCCAGGACGCAGGGAGGAGAGGTGGGGAGGGCAGGGGGTGTCAGGGGGAGCCCCCCGGGCTCCAGAGCCCCCCCGTCCTACCCAGCTCCCGAGGTCTCTCTGCATTAGGGGGCAGTGTGGGAACACCGAGCAGCCGGCGCTTTGTTTTGGTGCATCTCGGTGCCGAGCTGCTGATGCATAGCTAACGCAGCCGCCGACATTGATTTATGGTCAACTTTCCATTTCATCAGCGTGCAGGGTATGGGGCGGTGTGGGGAGTCTGCACTGGCGTTTATTTAGTGGTAGGAAAGTGTAGAATTAATTGCTTTCAATTTTTGATTTTCCTTTCTACATTTCCCTGGCACCCCCCTGTCCCTCCTTTGAGGGATCTGCACCCCGGCATCAATCCAGCTTTCAAAACAAAAGCAGGAACGCCTCCGATGACCTTTACGAGGATGAGCAAAGGGTTTGTTTGCTCATCTCAAAGGGACAAAGAGAGAGATTTAAATAAAAGCATCTACCCACGCTGGCAATCAACCCGGCCACGTTTTGTCCAGAGCGCAGCCCAACACTGTGCCACCGTCTGGCACCATGCAATGCCCCGGCAACCCAAGCATGGCCAGGGCCTTTCCTTTCCCATCGTTTTGGGAAGGTTTTGGGAGATTCTGCAGGCTGTGTTTCCTTTGGCCTGCAGCCCCAAGGTCACTGCTGAGCCCCAGCACAGGGAAGGGCTCTCCCTGTAAGACAGCAGCTGCGAATGGGCACTGCAGCCTGGGCTCCTCCTCTCTTCTCCCCTTCCCAGCATTTCACTTCGCCAAGCTCGCTCCCGTGGGTTTTTGGGCCACTAGCTCCCAGGAATAGTCCGTATCATTTTTTCCCTTTGCCAAACAGCGGCACACATCTGAATGTGCAGGGCTGGAGGCGTTCATGAACCCCCAGGGCAGCAGCATGGGGTTTCTGCAACCTGAGCTTTGCTGGTGACTCCCTTCTCAGCTCCCGGCGTGATGCTCCACCATGCCAGGACAGGACCAGTCCCTCTAAAACCTCTCAAAACCCCATGCCTACTATCCTCAGGAATATCCCTGGAGGTCCCTGGTACCTGCAGTATGGTGCAGAAGAGTGAGACGCCGAAACCAAGCCCTCTCCGTCCTCCAGTCTCCTGGCACAGGGAAGGCACTGGCTGGGGTGGTACCACCAGGAACCTCCCCCACTCCCACGGCTGGCATACCAAGGGTCAGGGAGAAGTCCTTTGCATCTCCTGTGAACTTTTTGGTTTTGCCCTCTTAAGTTCAGCACTTTAATTTCCTACAGAGATAAGAAATTACCTCCAAGCTGTAACCGGCTTGCTGCTGAGCCACGAGCCCACCTCTGCAAGGGCTGATCTCCAGCACCTCCCAAAGCTGGAACGAGCTCCAGCACCCGCAATAAATCAGACAGGCTTTCATGCAGGCGATGTTCAGACTGTGTTAAAAGGTGGGATTTTTCTTCTCCCCTCCATCCCCAGGGCTGGGAGGAGAAACCAGATGTTGGAGGGCTTTCAGGAAAGGCAGGCTCTTGAGATGTCACATGTGAGCCATATGCATCGGCACCCATCCTCTCTTCCCTTCGGCAGCTCCGGGGACGGGCAGCATCCCCGCACACAACACCTGCACCGGTGCCATTACTTTTACTGGCTTTTCAGGACCCCCCTCCAAAGGTCCTAAGAAAGCAGGGCTGCTTTTGAGCCCCCCTTCCCCAGCGGCTCCTGGTCCAGCCGCATGAGAGGCAGGGAGCTAGGATGGGTTGTTTGCTCATGAATCGGACCCTCAGTGCAAAAATGCTACAAGAGGGCAGAAAGGAAAGCAGGGGGGACAGCTTGGAGGCTGTCAATGGGAAGAGTCAAGACGGGAGCATGCACAGCACATCTGGGGAGATGTGATTCCTCTTCCTCACCTTCCCCTCTCAGGGAAAGCCAACCCATACTCTTGAAGCCTTGCCCTAGCTTCGTGCCAGTTTTACAGCCCTTGCAGCTCTGCACGAAGCAGGAGCCCCAAAGGACAGTCAGCTTTGCCGCGGGGCGAGATCAGGACTTTTGGAGACACATTTGTTGGAAGCAGCAGCTTGGCACTCGAATTGCTGGCAGCAGCTATGACCTGCGAGATAGCATCTCTGCTGTTGGCTTCACCCCGTGCCGCCAAGCGCTGCTACAAGATTCGCCTGTTTTAGGGTTCCCGATCAATATTGGATATTCTTACTTTGTCAGAAGCATGTTCAGGAAATGGGATCTCTCTAAAAAAAAAAGACAGGACCCTCCTTCCCCCTTCCTATACACACGCAAACGGCGATATCGGGCTCAGTTATCACCACAATAAATCACAAGTGCCTTATCGAGTCTGCCCTGTCTACTGCCCAAGAAGTTCTCCCATATACAAATCACAAGCCCAGATAAAAAAAAACCAGCATGCCAAAACAAATATTCCTTTCAACTCTTATCCCATTTGTTACACGAACAAGTGTTTCTTCCTCAGGAAGGAAGATTTTAATGCACCGAGAGCTTATGCCGCTGCAAACCAGTGTGGCTCATGCCGTGCAAAGAGATTCCAGAGAAATCAAAAAAAACCCCACGGTTCAAGTTTTGAAAACTCCTTTTCTGCGTGCTTGTCGAGATCCTTTCCATCAGCGTCACTCCAAACATACGTTGTCCCCTCCTCAGTCACAGCTCGGCGCGGGAGAAGGAAGGAGCAAGGGGACTTTGGGGACTTTGCTAGGTATTTGCTTACAAGGTGCCTCCACTGCATGCAGGGACTTGGCTGGAGCTGGCTCCTGCTTGCAGCCGCAGCCAGCGTTTGTTAATGCTTTCAGTGATTGCATTTGGAAAAAATCAAGCGGTTAACCAGAGGGGGGGGGAAAAGTTTCAGGAATCAAAATCCAGAGTGTTTTCAATTATGCACGTCTGTTAGGACGGGAGAACAAATACAATTCCAACCCAAATACAAACCAAACAGCTTTGGAAAAAAACATTGGTTGTAAATACCCAGTAACCTCTTCGAGCAAGAAAGAAATTTGCTTTAAGGCCACAAAAAAATAGAAAGCAAACGTGGAAGGACAGCAGAACACAAGTTATTCCTAGACAGGTCAGCTACACGGGCATGCTGCTTCCCTAGCATCCCCTTGGAAAAAAAACACAGGCACGACAGCGCTAACACCCAGAGCGTAAGCAAACACGTGCGCGGTGTGGAGGCGAGCATCGGGAGGACCGGCAGCCTACCTGGAAGAAACCCGGTGGGATGGGGCCCCCGGGCATCCCGTCGTTCGGGGGAATGTTTCCAAGCACGGGACTCGGGGCGGCAGCTGCGCTCTGTGGGGAACAAAACCATGACAAACATGGTGGGTTTGAGTTGGAGTTAAGAAAAAAATACATTAAAAAAGCCGTCTCCCCTGCCACACCACATTCAATTAGTGAGTTACCTCCAGAGCCCCGAGAATTGCTCCCCATGCCCCGAGCATCTTTCCCCTACAGGGGAACAAGCAGAGGATGCTCAGAGCCAGAGGGGTAGCGGCCTCTGCAATTCGCCCACGGAGAAGATGGCCGCACAAAACCTGGGGATAATTCTGGGGCTTATTTATTCATTTACCCAGGCATTTAGTCTCGTTAATCCACCAAGGAGCCTCATCCAATGCATCACTTTGAGGCAGAAGCTGTTTTGAGGCTTTTTAAATGCTTTTCTTACCCCACCTCCCCCTGTGCACTCGCCAGTTTCGTTCTGTCCTCCGAAAAAGATGCTTCCCTGACCTCACCAGCACACCAAGGTTTTATTATGAATTTCCAAATTCATCGCACCCGATCTGTGGGTGTCACTCCCGCTCACATGTCCCCAGGACAAGCCACCTGGGCAGCTCCAGCCCTGAAAAGGAGGAATGGGGGTGGACACGGGGTACCTGGACACCCCGCTCGCTCCTGCTCAGCATCTCTGTTTGTATTTACTTTCTTACTGCACTGTGGAATTGGCAGTGCTGGGAAAGCACCAGCATGATGGGAGGCTCCGACCCAGAAGGAAAATGGTAAGAAAAAGATTTTTCCCTAAAGACAACTGCCGGCAACATGTCCCTGCTGGGTTAGGAGCAGCACCTGTGCTGTTGAAGTGCACTCGTTTACCCACCACCAAATGAGCCCCCATTCCTGTGGCAGTTACAAGGGAGCCTCAGTGATATTAATTGGGTTTGAATCACTGAACTACTCCCTCCACAAATTTTTATGATGGACTGACTTACCCACCTAAAACCACGAGGCAGGGCCAAGGAAAATCATCCACCACAAAAAAAAACGGTGGAAAATTTTCCACCAAGGCAACCCCAAAGGCAGATGGAGTATGTGTGAGCCTGCTCAGGCTTGGTTTTACCCCAAAGCCTGGAGCACCCTGACCCCACCAAACCCTGCATCCCAACAGCAGCCGAGCCAGCCCCGGCCCCCGGCTGCATCCGATGCAGCAACAAGCACAAGAGGTGAGCAGAAGGGGGAAGCCAGTGTGTCAGGCCTTGGGCAACCCCAAAAATTAAGGATTATTATTAAGGACTAAGGCTTGCCAAGGTGGGACCCCAATATCTGGTTGGGAATCTCGTTATTCTGGATCAGAAAGCCTTGCAGAGGCAGGAGAGCATCACGCTAACCGCTGCCTTGTGCCTTCCCAGAGGCCATCCCTTGTGCCCCCTCCATCACGCCCTCCGTCAGGAGCCGGCGTGCAGGATGTAGGATGAAGGCCAGGACCACACCAGTGCAGTGGTTCCTTTTCCCACCCCAGCATCTCAGAGCTGCAAGCGCCAGAGATGACAGTGCAAGCCGATACCCCAAAAAGAGACCCCCTTCCTGAAACAACCAGGGTACGCCTGCGGCTATGGGGTCCTGCACCCCTAGCACGGCCCATGCCATGCTCCCCCTGTTCCCCTGAACAAGGCATCCCAAGCAGCCTTCCCCACATCGACAGCAAAGGCCAGATCTGAGTGTTTTTACAGTTAATAAAAAAAAAGTCCTGGCAGGAAAAATAAGCCTGCCCGTTCCAGGCTCTTTTTATACATCAGACGGCAGCAAAAATAGACGGGAGAGGGAGTGAACCCAGTTCTCCCCCTCCCTCCATCCCCCCAAGTGGGTCAGCTATAAAAGTAAAACCAAATCTTAATCCAAGGCCATGAACATATTGCAGTTTCTCTGCAAAGCAGATGACGGTTCTTAATGCAAAAATATATAAGACCGAGCCCCAAACTGCAGTGAGCCCATTTGGAATTTCCTTTATTAAACCCTCTATCACGCAAAACGCTTCTCTCCCAAGGCGGCGAGCGCTGCAATAAAGCTGCCAAGGTGATATTTTATGGTTTCAAGAGATTTCCAACACACCATAATCCTTCGCTGGGGGAATCTCCCAAAGCGAAATGGATCCCGAAGCGGTGGGGAGTGAGGATGGACACGTATTTGGGGATTCAGGGGTAAAGTACACTGCCCTCCTCCCTCCCTCTGCAACAGGGAGTCGAGGGAGGAGGGCAAAGCAGCCAAAGAAAATCTTGAAGCAAAATGCCCATTTTTTTGACAAAACCACAGAGTATTTTTCCGCGCTAAACACCCCAAAACCTCACCTATGCCTTCGTGGCATAAACGGGGATTTAAAGTTCGTCACACATGTGGTGTTTGGCAGAACTCAGTAATTAAAAACCCACAAGTGCCCTGAGCATATTGTAGGATGGGAGCCAAATTGGTCAGCCCTTGATGAATGATTTACAAGGCTGCGAAGTGACATTTTATTTCTTTTTTATTCCCCTCCCCATCACCGCCGCTAAGGTAAACACGGAGGCACCTTTAGCCCTGCTGAAGCGATGGGAGCGCAGCCGCAGCTGGAGCAGCTCTGCAAAACCCTGGGGATGTGCCAGAAAAGGAAGAAAAAGGGGAAAAAAAGACAGTGGGAATAAATTTCTCAAACCCTCAGGGTGAGCACCCAAACCCCAAGGGCTTTCCAGCACCAATTTCCAGAAAACCAGGAATTTTTGCCCTCCCAGCTTCCCCCACCCAGCTTAATTTCACCATTTTGGTTAAGAAACTCTTTTTAAGGACTCTGGAGATTTCATCTGGAGTTTGCCTGCCAAGCCCCTTTCACTGGGCAAATATCTAAGCATCTCCAAGCCTCCCTGGTGCAGGCAATGGGCAAGGCAGAGATGCCCAAGGGGCAGGCAGGAGACGGGCAGCGCCAGCATGGTGCAGAAGCACGAAGCCTGCTGTGCCACTGTGTCCAAGCTGGTGCTAAACCAAAAGCACGTCCAGCCACACGAAGGTCCCCGTTGGCATGTGACGCCCCAAATTTCCTTCCACCAAAGCATGCTGGGGACCGCTGCCGGAGATGAGCAAGGACAGCTCTGGCACAACCAGCATGTCGGCTTGTTTGCCTTTTATTAGATGGTAAATTTGCTCCATGCTGGAAACAAAATGCAGTTCCTGGGGCATGCATATATACACACACACACACACACACACACATATATATGCATTTTTTTTTTCCCCACATACGTTGGATTTTTCCCCTTTTTTGGTGGAAGCGAGTGGAGCGACGACAATCTGGATCGCTGCGTTTCGCTTCCAAACCGAAGCTCTCAGTTAACACACCAGCTCGGTACGCCAGCAGATGCCGTCTAAGCCTTTAAATCGCACACTAATTGCACTAATTGAGCTAACAGTCTCTGTTTCGTCTCCCTACCCTGAGTCAACCAGCGTCTTCTGGTACTGCTGTAGAGATCCAAGCTGTTGACTGTAGTGTTATTTTGTCAGCCATTAAACGATTCATCAGAGTCATTAATTGATTTATTACCGCTGCCTGCGAGTATAGCTTTGCAAATAAAGAAGGATGGAGGTCAGGAGGCAATGGAAATCGGACAAAACAGCACAGCCAGGAGCTGGGCACTTGAATTATCAGTAGGAGCCCGCTTGTGCAGGACCGCTGGCATCAGGTTATGGGGGAAAAACAGGGGAAAAAAAGAAAAAGACGTGCCGTTTGGCTGCGCTGCCAAACCAGTTAGGTTTTTCAGCTAAAATCTATGTAGGATGTAAAAAGGCTATTAAAACTGTCTTGTTTTCTTAACCTAATCCTTAGGAAGAAACCAGGTTATTCCACTGTATTAATCGCGTTTAAGAGCAGCAGGGAAGAGGCACCGGTGCGGCTGCACCGAGCAGCTCCCCAGCTCCTGGAGCAGCCCGAGCATCCTGAGCTGCCCCGCCAGCATTTTGGTGTCACCCAAATTTGCATTCCCAGGCCGGCTGAGCCAGGAACACAACTCACCTCCGCTCGTCCCACAGCCCTGGGAGGAGCTGCGGACTGGTGCTTTTATTTATTTACTTTCTTTAATACAGAGTTTAGGTCTTTGCTAGGCGTGAAGGTTTGCTGAGAGCAGGGTGCGGCGAGCCGTTTCCTGCCCCCCGCCCTGCAGCAGACTCGACCCGAGAGGAGCTGTGAGGCACCACCGAGGCTGAGAGGGTTTCGGGGGCTGAGTTTAAAAACCGGAGCAGCCAGCGCAGAGCTGGGGGACTGAAATCGCTGCCAGCGACAGCATGCCACTGCTCCCAGCCCCAGGGTACCCCTGGCAATATAAGACAGCTCCAACAGGGAGGCTTGGGAAGCTGGGGAACTTTCTGGATGTGCTGTCCACACGGCAGCCCTTGGGATGCTGCAACAGGATTCTTCCTCCTCATCCCCGCTGCTGGACAAGCCTGAGCCACCTCCAAGAGCATCTCGAAGGTGGGCTAAGGCACTGCAAACCGATGCACCCCATCCTGCAAGGCCCCCAGCGTCACAGCGAGACGATACCCTGCAGGGTGGCAGGGCATCAGCTGAGCCCCAGTTTGCCAGCTGCCCAAACCTGCCACGCTTCACCAACACAAGTGATGGTTTCTATTAACTATGAAAACCAGGTTCCCATCGGCGGTATTTACTCTGCTGTTAAACGCGAGCTGGTGTCCCCACCGCATGCTCCGGTTGAGCAGCTTCAGGTCGCACAAGCAGCTGTGCAGCTTGCCCCAGCATCCCGTGGCTAGCTTTCACCAAACACTTTTTTTTTTTTTTTAATAAAAATAATCTCCAAACAGTGGTGCAAGGCGCTGGCAGGCAGCAGAGACGATGCTCCCTTCACGGGAAGCATCACCAGCACTGGCCGCTCTGCCAGTCCCAGCCTCCATCAACCCGGCAGTGAGATGGGGAGAGCAAAAACATCTTCATGGCACAGACCTAAAACCAAACTAAGGATGGCCAGACATTTGCTTTTTTGGCTCAAGATGTTTTTGCCCTCTTCTGGAGAGAAGAGCGAACCGGAGGATTTTGGCTGCATCTC